ACCTTCTTAGGGTGTAGGTCAGCCTTAGGTGTTGCTACGCCTGTTTGGCCAGGACTTAGCCATTGGCGTCTATGCGTGTAGTTAACATACAATACCCACTTCTCATCACCAGTGATAAGATTGCGTAGCCATTGATAGTTGCGGTGAGATGTGATTAAATCCATACATGCATCAACCCTGTATTGCAGCTGATATGGTGATAATTCATGGGGTATCCAAACTCCATATCTCCATGTTTTGCCTAATCCGTGCAAATGTTTTTCCACCGCAGTATGGGAGCACCCAAGCTGATCTGCTAAACACCGTGAAGTCAATCGAGGATCTTGTTCGATAAGCTGCTGTAAGAGGTCCGCATCCACCTCCAGTGGTCTACCGGGTCGAGGTAAATCGTCGAGTTCTAAGTTACCATTCTTAAACCGATTGAACCAATGTTGTGCCATACGAATAGAGAGTACATCCTCACCCATCGTGCTGCAAATGTTGTTGGCTGCTTCTGTTGCTTTATGACCCAGACGGAATTCATGAAGTAAAAGTATATGAATTTCTCTACGAGAAAGATTCATTTTCTGTTCGTGGTCAGCGTACATATCGATGACTTTATTATCGTTCGAAAGATATTCACACTCCCTTTATATACCCTTAGTATGGAAACTTCTAGAACTTTCTCGAATGTTCTAGAACAATTTCAAAAAAACCGCAAAGACTTAGTTGCCAACCTAATATATTCTTCTTTTTTAGTCTATTGCCCTAACTTTTTGTGTATTAGCGGAAATGAAACAAAAGTAGAAAAAACTCGATCTTATTTTCAAAGAAAATCACATTAGTAGATACAGTTCATTTCGCTTTGTCTAATGATATGTTTTGAGAAAAAAATCAAAAGCAAAAAAAGTATATCCCTTCTTGTCGAAGGAAAACTCTTTAATTCATTCTAGTAAGAAAAAAACCATGATTTTCATATGGAATATAAAAAGAAACCAGGTCCATTTATTGGTGAACAAGAAAAATGATATCTATTATTCGCATTATGTAAACAAAAAAAATATACATAGGTGTTCGAATACTATGTTGACTGTCTGTAGTTGATCACTAAACATTTGCAACGTCACAACATTCTCAGTGCTTCTGGTTCTTTCCGACTGAAGAATAAAAAAAATAGAAGCTATTCTATGTTGTTGTTCAGTCATGTCTATTTTTATCTTTTTATTATGTTCTTTGACTGAGTTGAAAACAGATTTGCTTGATGTTTCGACGGAAGTTTGATTATCAAATTTTGACGAACTAGTCGAAGAAAAAACAAAAGGAGCCTCACTTAGATTCAATGCTTTTTACTGACTTATCCAAATCTGAGAGAACCTACGTGCTGTTTGCAGAACAAAACGCTACTTGCTTGTTTTTTTTTGTCATTGTCAGTAGTACTATACCTGGTAACAGTAACAGGACAAAGTATCATAAAACAATCCACTATTACTTGGTACTCGCAGCTCATTCAGTTACCAGTTACCAGGCAATATAAAAGTAACTTCCTACGGGGAGCATGAATATTGCAGTACTGACTTTCGAAAATTGCTGAAAATTTTGTAATACACTCTTGATGTTAGTTTTAATTACCAGCGAACTTTCTGCAATATATAATTTTAACGTTGTCAAAAGTCCAAGGATCACAATTTTTTGGTTTTTTGAACTCAGAATCATTTGAGTTCTCAGTAGAACTCATTAGTTTACTAACTGCTATGCCTTCTTAATAAGGCATTAATCATTCATGGTCAAACGTTCACTAGTTAAAAAAAATTGCCAAAAGTGAGATTTTGCAAACATGATTAATTAATAGATTTTCGATTTAATCTCTAGACTTTTAGCCATTGTCATAAGTTGCGTTTTTATTGAATTTTCGCTCTCCGCCAGATTGAGCTTTCAGCAATTGGCAATAGATCAGTTGTGTTAACCGTGAAAGTCAACTGTCAAAGTCAGTACTGCGATTTTCACGTTTTCTCTTCCCACCTTTACATTTATTCTTCGAATTCTACAAGAGAAGCCAATAAGGAGCAAAAAGAATAGTACAGATCAAGACCGTTAGCCCGTCCGATCGATTAGCCAGTTCTACCCTTTTGAAAGTGCGGATAATTTTTGTTCGATAAATGTGTTAAGTGAAGATTTTTCTCTCGAAATGTGTGACTAGAAAGTATGTATTTTACTTTTTTTATCGAAGCTGTATTTTTCTCCTCGTCTTATTTGTTGTAGATTAATCTAATTTTAGTGGGTAATAGCGACTTATCGATCATGCTCTCAACTGGTGAACAATGTCGTTCTGCCGATCAAATAGAGAACAATGAACTAATCATGATCACAGCAAAGCAAAAAAGTGTTCCTTACGTTAATAGCAATCAGACAAGACCAGATGAGTCTTTCGAGTTCTTGTATGAATCTTTTCTTTCAATTTCAGCCACATTTCATCTTTATCTTTGTTAGGACACACTCGTATGGGTCAATATCAAAAATAAAGATCTTCGCGTTTAGTTCATTTACAATCATATTAATCATCATTGGTATTCTCACGATTTGCTTTACTTCACCAAAACCACAAAGTATGCACGTATATTATGTTTTTATCATTCGACTTTTATCGAAGTAGAATAGAGATGTTGTGGTTCGAATATTTTTTCATTAGGCACGAAAATTAAAAATGATCGAAGACTTTTCGCAGTTGTAAGTTCATATCCAAGACGTGGACTAGAGCGATGGATATAAATGTGCAAGCATTTACTTTCATCTATCCTACTGTCAACACACTTACACACTTTCATCGACACGCGTTCGTACATCTACCTATACTCATTTAGTGCAGCTCAAAAATCGTTCCAGAAAACCTTCAATTGGGTAGCATAGTAGAAGCATGGAAAAACTTTTTCTCGTTTAGCACCAATGAAATAGGATGAGTTAGACTAAACTAAAAGTTCATTCCATTTCAAGCATAAGAAGCTATATGAATTGCAGAGTTCAGCATTGTTTATGCACTGGCTTGACCAACGGCTTCAACTATGACATACAATGATTTGAAACAAAATTTAACCACGTTGTTCTGACTAACATACTCATCCACCTTAATTTTTTTTAGAAAGTGACACAATGTCAAAAAGCACATAAAGATTAGCATATGAAACCAAATTTCAAAATCTTACTCATCACCGTTCGAAGAGATGACAGCCAATCATTTTTTTTCATGAAGCTAACAAAATTACTGAGAAATCCCGAGTCCATTTTTCTTAATTTTTTCATTTAAAAATTCACTGATTTAATCAAGATTTTACTGATTTTGTTTCATGATATGAGTGTGAGAGGTGCGAGGGATGCTCTTCGTGTTATGATCATGCATACTCATACTTCAATATATTCGTTTTGTTTTATTTTGTTTAATATTATTTCTATATTATCAACCAACTCGTCACCAGTTGAGTGGCATAAATCAGTATTGTAAGTTGTGAAGATACTGTAATCGAAAAAGAGATAAAATAAGAAAACTGTAGGATTGGCTATATGATAGTTCAGTATTGTCAGAAGAACAAATAAATGTAACAGTGATACAACAGAAAATTAATTACGTTGTTTAATCATCTCGCCAATGAATAAACCATGTTGATCGAATAGAATTCATTGCAATATACGTGCCTTCTTACCCTCTATAGTAATATTAAGACACTTACACATGTATAGTAATGATGGAAAAATATTTGTATTTCTTCTTGCATCCTCTAATTTTGCTCAGATTGAACCAATAAATAAGTTATACATTATAGCTTTAAATATTCCTTATTTCACTCTTTCTTCCCTTCCATTGTGTAGCTAATTGAATATATTTTGTATTCCTCGAAATTTTCAACCAATCATGTGATTGAATAACTTTTTCTTTTGTAATGAGTCGCAAGATAGTGTTACAACATACTTACGATAACATAATCCTGTCAAAGAAGCAAATAAATAATCTTATGATGGAAACATAGAAATAAAAATAAACACTTTATGATGAATTTGATTGATATCACATTATCATTCTCAGAAAATATTTCAAGTTCATAAAAACATATTATTTATATAACCCAATCGTTTCTATACATGCTCAAACATATTTTTTTTTATCTCTGTATTATATATGTTAACTTTCGAATTTTGCTTGCGTGGATTGTTCATTCGATCATCTATACTTTGTACAGGGGATAACAAAATTATAGGCCCCCCTATGTCATAACCAGAAAAATGAATACTATATTTTGGAAAGAAAACTAATCGTTCAGTTATGATGTTCGTTAGATAGATGAATATATATACTATGCACACATGTCGTCGTTCTTTTTCCTCTTCGCTCATATACGTCAAAAACTCGACAGAACGAAAAAAGTGCTGTCACATAATTATAGGCCCCCTTATACATTTTTTCTCTTTCTTCTTCCATTTTCGTCCGATATAAATTCAATTAAATTCATTTCTATTCGTTTCTTGTCAACCAAGTTTACTTTATTTTTTATTGATAAAATCTATCGTATTTGATACTAAATAATGGGAAGAAAACCTGTTAACATCGATAAGAAAAAGAACATCATTGCTTTACACGACGCTGGTAAATCTCAACATGAAATTTCTCGACAATTACACATTTCTCGCCAATGTATTCGTCAAACTATTCGTAAATTTGATCAACTTCATACTGTGGCGACGAAACCTGGTAGCGAACGTCCACCAAAAGTAACAGATCGTCAAAAAAGAGCCATTAAACTTGAACAACTTCGGGACGATACTCTTTCATTGGCCGATCTCGTTCGATATGCTTATATCAATTTGAATCTAACAATTACTCGTCAAACCGTCAGCCGTATCCTTCATGAATTTAATATGGTGTCTTATACTGCACCCCGAAAACCTCGAACAACACCTATACAAAGACGTAATCGACTTCGGTGGTGCCACGAACATTTAAGTTGGTCAGTAAATGATTGGTCAAACGTAATATTTTCCGATGAAACTAATTTCGAAATATTGCATCGAAAGAATCGAATCTATATACGTCGCTTTCGAACCGATTCGACACGATTTGAACGATATCAAAAACGAGTACATAAAGGTGGAGGTATTGGTCTTTGGTCCTATCTTACATGTCATGGTCTTGGACCATTAGTTATTTATGATGGACGTCTCAACTCGGTCAAATACATCGATATACTTGAACATCATTTATCAGCAGCACTTCAAAAGTTTCCATCTCAACAATCTCAAAAAATCTTATATCAACAAGATAATGCTCGTCCTCATGTTTCAGCTCAAACACAAGAATATCTCAAGGAACAACGTGTTAAATTAATTCCTTGGCCAGCAAACAGTCCAGACCTTAACATCATTGAAAACATTTGGTCTATTCTTGATCAAAAATGACTTAAAGTCAATATTAATAACATGGACGATCTAAAAACTGCATTACAAACAGGTTGGGCAAAATCTCAAATAATACAGTTCAAAAACTTTTTGAATCAATGCCGAAACGACTTCGGCAAGTGATTACTCATAAAGGTTTTCATTCTTGTTATTAATTCTTCATAGTTCTTTATTTTGTTAAATAAAAACACTTATATGAAATAGATAAAGAAAGAAATTAAAAAAATATATATATATAAGGGGGCCTATAATTATGTGACAGCACTTTTTTCGTTCTGTCGAGTTTTTGACGTATATGAGCGAAGAGGAAAAAGAACGACGACATGTGTGCATAGTATATATATTCATCTATCTAACGAACATCATAACTGAACGATTAGTTTTCTTTCCAAAATATAGTATTCATTTTTCTGGCTATGACATAGGGGGGCCTATAATTTTGTTACCCCCTGTACCTTTATTCTTCTTGATTGAAGTGCTCGAAGAATAAGTTTTGGCTTCTTTATATCATCATTAAATAAATTTTCTATGCATTTGTTCACATTTTCATCAATATCATGAATTGAGTCATTATGATGTTCATGTGCAACTCCTCTTTGATAAACTGTTACTTTATCAGTATCTGCATGGTATAATAGATAAATATTTGAAGGACATTGAGGACCACAATGTGTGACTTTATTGCACCTGTAATAAACTTTTCTCCCATCTTCTGTATAGTTTGTGTAATGTTTTGACTATTGATTTCCAACTGATGCTTTAGCTTCGCCAACACGACCAAATGCATCTTTTATGATCCAACATTTTGATTCCTCTTTTTGAGATCTTTTCCTTTCATCTATTCCATGATCTTCCCCTACCACTTCTTCATCTAATACATCGTTTTCATATTGAGCAACTTATACCACTTCCATATTCAGCAACACGTCGAATTCTGTACCCGCACACTATGTTACTTTTATTTAAAAAATACTGGATATTTATACATGAGGATAAATAAAGATGACGACAGAGAGAAAATGGAGAAGCTTCTTTCCTTTTGTTATAGATAATGAACAATGAGAAGAATTAAAACAATGATTCATCTATATGCGTAACGTATGTAAATAAGTAGAAATAGGTCAAATGAACAAGAATATATATAGAACACCTAAAGAGAAAGAAAAACAAAAATGATTTATTCTATACCATTTCAACTTTTATACTGATTCTTTAATATAATCTACTGCTAATAAATTATACTTACTGATTTTTAAATTTATCTACAAACATCATCAATTAATAACTGACCGTTAAAATAATTTACTGATCAAATGTTTACTTTACTGATCAATCATAAAATCTACTGACTTTATAATTATTTTATTCACTAATCATTTCATTTTTTTGCTAACCGTAAATCATATTCCCAAGTTTTAATATCAATGAGGAACGTCTTTTGTCAATAACTACATTATGAAGCCTTATATATATATATCAATTATCTGATAATTATCATCAATATTATCTTCAATGTAATTTATATCTAATGAATAGATTAATATTAATCGATACGATGGTCAAATGTTTTCGAGTTGAATTTATGAAAAAAATAGTCATGAATGTACTAGTAAAAAAAAGCTAGAATGTTATCATCTCATCAGATTATTCCTATTTCGAAAAAAATGACTAGATTGAATTCAAAAAGAAGATATATGAAATAACAAATCAAGATGATGTATGACTTTTTCTTTATCTCAAAGCAATAACGAATTTCATGGACAACAAAAATGTATATGATAATCTTTTATTCAAAACATCATAATTAATTTTATTTGATTAGGATGAATCAAAGACTGAACTACTTATTCTTTATGTAACTCTTTTGATTCGTTTAGCATTAATAGATCGTCATTTCCCATCAAAATTATCTTTAATCATATTTAGTTCAGTATTTTCTCAATTGATTAACCCATTTCATAACATCTTCAATTATGTCCATGCTTATATTCTTCATCTTTATCGTATTCAAAAGTAGTTGACATATTTGATGGATATGGTTTTGTTTTTACTTTCTATCAACCAAAACAGTCATAATCGAAACTTAGATTCGATTCAAACATATTGGATATTGTCAAACAACGCTTAACCTTATTGAAACTTTCAATAGATGAAGAATTTTTTTTGTAATATAGTTGTCATAGTTGACATAAGAATTTCAGTTGAGATTAGAATGCGTGAAATAATTAAAAAAGAAAAGAACAAAAAGTTCTCAAAAAAAAAGTCTTTTTTTTATTTTTAGAGTTTTGATAATGAATGCAAGATCTTTCATTTAAATAATTGCTTTTTAATAAAATCATATTAAATACGTTTAATAAAATATATTAATAGATCATTTTTTTGTTTCACTAATAAAAAACAAACTCAAAGTTTTGCTCGATATATTTTTATTCGAATATTATTATTTTTTTGCTCGTAAATATCTTATTATAGTTAATCTTCGTTGTCTTATTCATGTTATCGTGTTATAATGACATTGAATAATTGGTTATTCTTCAATAACTTATGACATCATTTTGAAAATGTTGACGAATTCTTTTGTATTTCAGCTGTCTAATAAGATTTATTTAATAAAAAATTTTTTAATTTTTCTTTATTTTTTATTGACTTATTGTTTATTTATTGATGTTCGTTGCTATGAAATGTACCACAAATAAACGTAAATTATGTCGAATCTTCTAATTATCTAACTTAATCTGTTTTTTTTTCTGTCGGATAAAACTTGTTAAAATGAATCTTTTTAATGAAAAACTTGAATCACATATCAATAAGCTTCATGTTACAAAAAAGGATGAAGTATATGATCAAGATCGATATGTATTTAAATATTATGGAATGTTTTTAAAGTCGAAGATCTAAATATGTCATCAAAATTCAAGTTTTGAATCTGAAAAACTTGTCGTCTTGTTGGTGCTCTTAAAAACCACTTTTTAT